TATATATATATATATATATATATATATATACAGGGCGCGATGGGTAAATTGACGCCACTTTATATTGTTAATTTGTGCATGTGTGTTGTTTGTTTTTAATTTCGTCAACTGCACAGTATAGTAAGGTCATTTGGGCACTGTCTGTGCGAAAAAGAGTACTTTGACGCAATTCACCCCGCCAGAAATTTGCAAACGTCATGCTGTACTGTTTGTGTTTAGGCTGTCAATCTGAGGGCAGTGCAGAAGATTCGGAAAGAGTTGAATGAGTGTAGCGGGGATTACGAAAATGTTTGGAGTGATTACTGGTAATAGCGAAGTTATATCTCCATACATCTTCCCACTAGGCCCCAGACTCAACACCGCGGCCAATACATCAAGACCTCTGAGGAAGTAGTGCTGTTCTGGGTCAAGAGGGTGTCTGGCAACAGGACTCCTAACCATGCCACACAAGCAGAAGAACACAATCATGGCTGTTAGATAATATCTGCGACCACATCACTCTTTACATCTGGCCACCTAACTCCCGAGACTGTAACCCGTTTGATTATTATGTGTTGGTCGGCGTTAAGCGAGAGTTCAAAAAAACTTCTTGTAACACCAAAGAGGAACTGAAGGCAAGGGTTATGACAGAATTCACCAACTTAAACGAACAAATCGTCCAGAAGTGTTGCAAAAGATTCTGAAGTCCGTGGTTGAAGCCAATGGGGATTTTATAAAAAAAATTATTCTTTAGCACTTCAAGATATTTTCGTGTAATTTTGTTAAATATGTCTGTTAAAATGAGATGCTAGTGTTATTTTCAATTTTTCGTACTTTAGACAACAATTTATCCATCTATAATATATATATATATATATATATATATATATATATATATATATATATATATATATATATATATATATATATATATATATATATATATGTGTGTATTTAGGCAGCATTTTCTCATTGATGCATGTTTCATTAAATAATATAGACAAGTTTTGTCTATTTATTTTATGCAAATTCCTTTCATATCGTCTGATAAGCTTAATAACATTATCATTGAAAGACGAAAGAAAACCACCATATTGATACATGTTATATATATATATATATATATATATATATATATATATATATATATGCAATGGATACATGTTATATATAAATATATATATATATATATATATATGCGTGTGTGTGTGTATGTGTGTGTGTGTGTGTGTGTATGTAGTTGGGTCTGTCTGTTTCTGTTGTTTGGTTTTGCTCTTTTTTTAAGTTATAAATTAATTTTTCATTGACTTTCGATTTTTATATGTAGTTGTGATTATTTACAAAGCGGAAATATCAAAATAGAACAAGTGCAACAATTTAAATATATTTGTGAAGTGCTTTACGAAAGAAGGAAAGTGAGACGCAGACATCCGAAGACGCAATGGGGTATCAAAAGATACCTTCCAAAAAGCTAAGCAAAGTATTAAGAAACTGGAAAAGTTCGTTAGAAACAGAGAAAAGAGTACTGAACCGTTAAGTAATATCAGTCCTCCTCTATGACAGGGAATGCTGGACACTCTCCTCACAGATGAAGAAGAGACTTGAAGCAGCAGAAACGTGATTCTATAGGACGCTGAGAACATCATGGAATGAACGCATGAGCAACGACAACGATTTACAGAAAATAGAAAACAAAAAGGGCCTATACTTAACATCTGAAAGTGAAAGGTGAAATTTCTAACGCGCAAAATGAGGAAAGAGGGCTTGTTAAATTTGATACGCGCAGGACATACTAACGGTAAGAAGTAACAAGAAAACAGCACACAAACTACCTAACGAATTTATGTAAATAGATAGATGAGGAGGTTTTAGGAAATATAACATTCACTAAAAGCTACAAAAGACAGGAAATTGTGTAGAGTCATGATCGCCAACGTCCTGATGGGACACGGAACATAGAAGAACTAACCTTTTTTTTTCTTTTTTTTTAAGCATTACGCCCCGAGCAAGGCGTGAAGCCACTACGATGCAGGGGGTTGCAGAAGATTTGGAGCAAGAGCAAGAGCAGATAGGAGTGATAGCGGAAAGGATGAGGAGAAGGATAGTGGATAGATCAAGGTAACTGGAGATGTCGATTGACATCACATTTGAATAGTTGGAGATTATAGCTCTCAGGGAAACAGTAATAGGGAAGGGTGTTCCACAGGCGAGAGGTGCGAGGTATGAAGCTATTGGAGTAGAAGAGACGGCTACATTTAAAAGTGTCTACAGTGAAAGGGTGAGAGCGGGATGCCAGCCTCGTAGGGCGCTTGAATTCATGAAGTCTGCGAACAATTGAAAGCACTTCAGTAAATAAAATTATTATTTTAAAAAAGAAATCAGGTTGTCATCGAAAACTGTTGGAAAAATCGCGGTTATTTTAGTCTTCTATTCCCGGACCAAACATACGCAATAGTAGAAAGAAATTATTTACTTGGGAAAGTCTTAATCGGAATTTTTGCTTCCAGATTATTCAAGTACCGGATTTTAATAATGGCGATACAAGTAACCAAGAGATACCAAGTAAAAGTCAAGACAAGTAACAAGTTTTTAAGGGTTTTTACACGCACAAAACGTTGACCTAAATTCATTCATACAGAAAGTATAAAAATTGAGTGAAATATTAAAAACAACATTCCTTCTTTGCAAACAATAATCACAAGAAACACTCACACACATACACACTTGCCCACACTTACACATACACACACACTTACACACACATTTACACACTTGCACACACTTACACACACACACACTTACACACACACACACACACACACACAACATACAGATATATGTATATATGGCTGTTTTCAAATATCCGCTAAAAAGTGAGCAAATATGATTAAAAAAAAATGTCCCAAATTTAATAAAATTTTATCGTCAAAATCATTATGTTATTATTAGAGGGAAAATCAAAGGATTTTTTTTCATGTAAAAACTATTTTTTAAATCCTTTTCAGACCCTTCTAAATTTTGGCTAAATATCTTGTTTCTTCAGTTTCAACGTTTTAGCATATGGGTAATGTATGCATCGTTTTACGGTAAGAAACACTGATTTGGAAACTCTTGCAAAAGACAAATAATTCTCGGATTTTAATGAAACTTTCAGGACTTATTCACAAACGAATAAATTATTTTAGAAATGTTTCTTCTTTGGAAAATCATTTACATTTTTTTTAAAATATTTTTTACTTCTCTTAATCCATAATTATTTAATTTTATGAAATTTTGCGAAATTCTTTTTTATAGTACTTAATTGTTTGAAGTAGTTATAAGGAGAATTTAAAACATTATATTTTTTTTGGTCAAAAACGCCCCCAGTTAAGTAAATCTGCTGTGAATGGTAGTATAAAAATACAATAAAACTATGTCATTATTTAATTAGAAAAGCTTTTAATTGCTTTTATGTTTAAAATATATTAAGAAAAAGAAATTCAATAAATAATTAATTTTTACTACAATAGCTTTCATTTTTTCTTAATTTTGTTATTAAATTAGGAATGTATTTACTAATCAGAAAGGGAAAAGTTCACTACAATTCAATGAATTCCAATATTTTAAAAAGAATTTTAATTTATTGTATGTGTGTATAAACGTGTCGATTTTTGTATATATGGATGTAGAAACGAAATCTTATGAGAAAATAAGAGCAACAAAGTACGATTGTAAATATTAAATTTAATCTATTAGCTTGGAATTAAAATAAAAATAAAAGCTTCAATAAGATTTTCATTTTTAAAAATACAACGGTTCGTTATATTTGTTTATGCGAAAATATTCTTGCGGAAAGGAATGAATCTACCTCTCATCTCCCCATCTATGGGTTAATTAGTAGAACTTGTATCCCTAAAAATCCTTATTATATCCCAAAAATTCTTGCAATCTAAAAAATGTTTTCTGTCTTTAAAAAACAAACAAACAAATCAATCAGTCATTAAATAAGACAGGCAAGTTTTTTTTTTGTTTTGTTTTTTTTCAGTTTATTATATTTTCCATCCATGCAGACAAGTAATTTCTTTTTGGGATTTGACGAAGAAAAAAATTTCTAAGTGTTCCTTCATTCCGAACACTTTCGGATAAACTATTATCCATTTTCAATGATTTTAATTATGCTTCTCTAATAAATGTTGTGCAAGTACTATTTTGGACTAAATTTAGTCAACAATTTGCTGAAAAGTAAACATATTCTTAATTTCCGAATACGGGTAGTACATTGTGGCCATGTTCAATTATGATTGCGACTTTCGCCTTACATAAAAATTAGCAGTAAAAAATATTAAGGATGAATCACGTGGTCTCATCATCGATCAAGTTATTCCTTAAAAAAATGTCAAATAAAACAAATGTTAGTTAGAAACAATTTCCAAACTATACAATATATAGCCAAATATTAAATTTAAATCAGAAATATATATATATATATATATATATATATATATATATATATATATATATATATATATGCGTCTATGGATTTTAGATTTAATTATATAATTAAATTTAAAATTTTAGTTTCTGTTTTGAAACATGACAATTCCTGTGTAGCGATGAACCATATTTTTAAATAGAAAAATAATATATATATATATATATATATATATATATATATTAGAGCCGTTTCTGTGCTAGTTTGTAGGGTGCTCTGTTTATCCGCTTTGAGATGCCTTGTTTAAGATATCCGTCTAGACACCGACATATATCACTTATTCTGATTTTCGCACCAGTGGCTACCATCGAACGGTTATGATACTAATCGTCTAATATTCGGGGCTGACGCGAAATGGATATAATTCGGTGCTTCTAGACGTTTCTGTCATTATGATATCACTTCATTGATCTGGTTTCCTATTTCGAGTTCCTTTATTCCATAGACATTGAGCGCTGTTGGTTTTTGTTATGCTAGGTGTAGCTTTCCTATTTTGAAGACTTTGTATTGGTAAGTTTGCTTTGTACTTTATATTCATCTGTAAGTTGGTTTATTCCGTATATATGACGGCTTCTCCCTTATGGAACTTGAACAGAACTAGAATTAAATAGCAAGACTACACCGCATATATGACTTGCTTATAGTGGGGAAGCTGTGCAGAAACAGCGGAAGAACTGAATACAGAGAACGGTTCTAGTGAGTTTGCCTACTTTTGAATTCATATTGCCAGTTGCCTAGTCTAACCTGCTATTTAATTAGATGGGTTCGTTTGGTTATTTGAAAGAAAGCGAATGTAACGAACCCAACCGGAATTCGATTTCGGTTCGCGGATTTCCCTTTTTTTTTTCTTTCTTTTTTTAGGATTATAAATTCTCTGTTGTCGATGTTATCTGTCTAATCTATTGAAATTATTATCAGATCTCATATTTATACGCCTCAGAAAGAAACGCCAAAATATAAATTGGGATCAAATACAAATCAAATGTGGATCGGAATCTGACAGAATGATTGGATAAAGAACAAATACGAAACGTTTATCAATCTTGCATTTTTCACTTTTATTAAATCCACATAAGAGAATGAAATATGAAAAAAAAAAAAGAAAGAAATCATGGTACTGTTATTTTTGTTTTGTTTGATTTTCTTTGGTTAATCAGGCTTCACATGCGTTTGGCTTGTTAAACAACGTATAGTATAATTTAAGGAGTTCCGAATTCAAGGAGAGACGACACGTCCTTTCGAAGTTTCAAACTTAACTGAAAAAACGTTAATATTGCTTAATATATGTAAATCTATCATAATTCTATCCTGTATATGTGGGATTCAGATGTATATTTGTAAGTGTGCGCGTATATGTCTTGTAGATATTATGTTTGGTGGTTGTCCACATGTTGATTTGGTGATATCTTTACGTAAGCATCAGTTGTGGTAGATGAACATACATTACATTTTTAAGAATGGATTTAATAAAGGTTGGTGATGTAATATATTGTGTGTTTATAGTTTGTATAATATTTACCAGGATTCCCTCGGAGTATTTTCTTCGTAAATATTTTTTCTAATTAGGGTGGCATTTGTAAAATCAACGTTGTGGCCAAATCCGGTTCGTTTATTCCAAGCGATTTTAAAGGTGTGTATCAACATATTTCCCTTTCGTGCATGTAGATTCGTGCTTTTTATATCTCGAGATGTCTCGCTAGTATAATTGTTTTTACATTGCGAGAGCTTTATTTTATAAATCCCGTATTTGAAGTGGTGTTGGATTTATTTTTCTTCGTAATTATATCTCTGGTTTTCTTGTGGGTAGTGGTAAAGACATAGATATGTAGATAGAGTGTTAGATGGTAGGATTATGAATTTTGCCTTATTGATGTTAGAAGTGCCATCGGCGGTGTCTAAATTTAGGATTTGTGCATGACGAACTCTAAAATCCCGCTTCTGTGAACACGAGAGAGACCAACGTTGGGACAAACATTTAAACTCGCTTGTAATACACAGGAACAAGATTTACTTAGCTGCTGGGAGAAAAGATCGGTTCATGTTTTTCCTATGGACATAAATGCGAAAGTGAAGGAAAAAAAAAAAACTAACGTGGAATTTGAACTCGGCACATAGATTCTACTTCTGGCGCCGTTACAGTACCCGCATAAAAAATATCACTGAAACTTTCGCTATCAATTATCGGATATTACTTATGGAATATTTAAATGTGGTTCGTTACTGAACAATTACGGTATGTGCCTGTGTGTGCCTATGTGTGTGCGCGCACGTGCGAACTTTTCAAAGATTGCTATGAATTTATCGGAGATTCCATCAGCAAAGGAATTAGTATGTTTTCACATATTTTCGTGTGAACAATACAATAGTTTCCTCTTATCCACTGTTTCCCTTTCACTGTTCGAGTTACCCGCGGTCAATCCCAGAAAGAAACAATTCATAAGATTTGCTTAGTCATATTCCTAAAATGCAGACGTAGAGAGAGAGAGAGAGATAGAGAGAGAGAGAGAGAGAGAGAGAGAACATAACGAGATAGAGTGAAAGAGAGTTCAAAAATACAGCGTGAGAAGAAAAGAAAACAAGAAATATTTAAATAATTTGGGAAAAATAGAGAAAGAGAACAAGAAAGAGAGAGAGAGAGAGTAAGAGAGAGAAAGGTATATTTTCGCGAGAAAATAAAATATGTAAAGAAAAAAAAAAAGATTGAAACCAAAAAAAAAAACCTTTCCTTCAAAAATGAAGGGAAACAGGGAGTGAGATGTGGGAGAAACTTGATGATTTGTTAAAAATGAAGGTTAGTAGTGGGAAAAAAGTTACAGGGATATATATATATATATATGTGTGTGTGTGTGTGTGTGTGTGTGTGTGTGTGTGTAAACATGAAAATAAAACCAATGCAAAAAATAACAAAAAGGAAAAGTTAAAAAAAAAAAAATACTATGTCGGATGAAAAAGAATAGAAAACCCGGCCAGCAGGTTTTAAAATAATTGTTCCTGACCCCTTACCGACAGCAACTAGTCGTGTTTTTAAAATAATCAACATTCCTTGAACACACACCGAGGCCAGTTTTAAACCCCTTTTTGACCCCTACCTTCACTACCGTCAGCTTGGATTTATTTTTTAGTGGCGGGGCCGGGTGGTGGGGTACTCTTCCGTTCTATTTTTTTTATTTCAGTTTTATTCTTTATTTTCCTGAATTTTTTTCTCTGGCATTTCCCATTGGGTCTCAGGTTTCTTGCTATCTCCCTTTTATAAAGTGTTCGCTTTCTTTTTACATACATACATAAACTATATATATATATATATACACACACACATGATATGATATGATATGATATGTGTGTACAAGTTCATAAGGTCTGCATATACATTGATATATATGGAAATTGACAAGATTTTCTATCTCATAGGTAATGAGTTCGAATCTCTTGGCTAGCCACACACCGAGTGAAAGCACATTCATATTGCGTCTTTTAAATTAAAATACTGTAATCCAAGTATATTATATAATTCCGATATCCAGATATTTTTATTAAAATTTAAATTACATGATAAAAGATTGCGCTGCGCATAAAACTCATTGTTGTACTTTTGGCGAGGGGTGATATATATATATATATATATATATATATATATATATATTATTTTATCAAAAATATGATTCCTTCCATACGTAAGAGTTCTCATGTTTCAAAAACGATAGCCGAAAACCTCAATATAATTATTAAAATTAAACTGAATTAAAGTATCAAGCCCTGTTTCATCCTCAAGCGAAAATTTAGGAATAACCAATCTTGAAATTTACGCCTCTTTAGAAGCATGTTCATTTGCAAAATTAGTTACTATGGAAACGGCTAGAGCGACCATCAAGATAAGGGGCATAAGAGTTAATTTGTATCCACATATCAGTCACCTTCAGAAAGAGGTTGAGCCGACGTAGGGTCGCTGTGTCAATTTCAAAGCGAATGATAGCATTCATGTACGCATATCGTCTGGTCAGTCACAGCGAAAGATAGCTTTTGGCACCATAATACGTCGTGAAGTGTCTAAAAATTTTATTTTATTTATTAATTTAATTATTGATTTTTATTTTCTAAAAGGCTGTTTCGTACATAACCGCGTCGTACTGAACTACACTTTGTTTTTTTTGACGATAAAGGGTTTTTCTATCTTATTATTTGGTTAAGCTTTTAAACCTTTTATTAGACTATGAAATTTAAGTTTTTTTTCATGCTAATTATTTAATTCGAAAATTTGTTGATGTCGGCAAAAAACCGTTAACTCATTTCTATGGGTTAATAAATTTTCATTATTTAGAAACTTAATAATGTGTAGTTTTTCATGTAGGCATAAAAGGCATGGGTCATCCCAGGTTTTACAAGTTGTTGTTCTATTTATTATTTTCCATTTTACTTTTGATGTTCTATTCCTTTCTTTTAAATGCCAAAAATATTTGGATAGAGATGTCTGATTTCTATTTCTAATATTATTGAAGGAGCTTTTGTGTTGTCTCCATCTAATTTTAAATTCATTCTTCCTTGAACCAATGTGTATCCTTTCAGTGTTAGGACTATCAATGGATGAAATAGTGCATTGGTATACCACAGATTTTGTCCGGCATTTATTTTCCAACGGGCAGTCTTCGGGGTTTCCACAATCACATAATTTTTCATTGTTTTTGTCTAATTTTAGTTTAGGAGTTTTATTAATACTGTTTTGACATTCGTGTTTTTCCAGGATTTTATTATTATGTCTTTTTCTGATTCTTTCTAGATTTTCAGTGCAACTGTAACTTAATTTTAAGGTGGTTTTATAAAAATTACTGTGTTGTTGGAATATTTCCTTATTAGTGTAGTTCATGCTGATTCTTTTTTCTATTGATTCTTTTATCTATTGAGTTTTTTCTGTAAAGGAGGTATATGTTGTTCATTAATTATAGTTATGGAGGTGGTTTAATCTTTTTAAATTTAGTTTTCTGAATTCACTATATATTATCTTTCTAATTTGATCTATTTTAAAATTTGTGGAGCTCCTCACTACCATGAACCCATCATCCCTGTATAGCCCGATGTCCTTAATGTCTAATTCACGGTGCGCGGTTAGATTGTATAGTATAAATAGACCGACAAGGTCAGAAGACTAGGCAGAGTCTAAAGATCCCATGGTAATGTCAAAATTATCATTAGTGTTTTTAAACCATTGGTCCCCGTTATGGATGAGGACAGATTTTTTGCACTCAGAATTATGTTCATTTCCTCCTTAGTTAAGTCAGAATATACAGTGAGGATGAAACAAGGCATGATACTTTAATTCAATTTAATTTTAATAATTATATTGAAGTTTTGGGCTCTTGTTTTTGAAACATGAGAACTCTTATGTAGCGAAGGAATCATACATTTTTTAAAAATAATTATAATTTGAACTTTACTTCAGTATGGAGCACTGTTTTTTTAAAAATAAAAACAAAATATAAAGAACTCGGATTATTTACCTAACATGTTTTCTTTTCCTATTTTCTACATATCTGCATATATATATATATATATATATATATATATATATATATATATGGGAGGGCAGCAACCTTTCTTTTATGCATCTTTCATTGAAAACGGCCAACAAGGAAGATTTAATTAAGCGTTTAAATTTTTCCAGCAATCTAACGTTTTTCCGTTTTTCAGGCGTTAAAGAATATAGAAATTGTCCATAGTTATAACTGTTCCGAGCACTTTCTTACTTTACTTCTCTAGCCGTTATCAAGGATGTGTGTTTGAATCGTGAAATTCTCTGTGTGGCTGCTATACAGTAATTTTACAGTATGGAGTTCGAGCGATTTGTGTGCGTCATTAGGGAGGCTCTGCTTATTATACTTTGTTCTCACCATTATCAGTCTTACACTATTTAGCAGCGGAGACGGCGTGTTAAAAAATGTTCTAAAAATAGAAGTCTTGACGCGGTCAACAGGCGGCGCATATCACATGACCACAAAAAAGCAGACAAACCAAGAGTCAGTGAAGGAGAACATTTCTGTAGGGCAATTGCAGGAAAAAATCGAATTCATAAGCCTTGTGGGAGTTTAGTTTAGAAATGGCAGCAGAAATGGAATGTGCATATCATTTAATAGAGGCTCTTTTCTAAGGGGAAAATCAGGCAGATTTGGAAGTGAATTTTGTAGCAAAGCACACTTCTTTATCTGTTGCATATGGCAAAAGTTCAAATGGATCGAAAAGAGGAGGTACTGAGGATATGATTTTTTTTTTCAGCACACTGTTACAGAGCAGCTTGTAGTCAGTCAGTTATGTGCCATGCATGTTTTTTTCCCCGCAGTAGGTTGTCATTTCTTTCTGCGGTAGATCAGTTGCAATCCAAGGCTATAGAGCCCGGTCTGTCTTGCTATTTATCCATAAGAAGAGAAGAGAAGAGGAGGATTCATACCTTTCCCAAGGGTATTAGCACGTAACTGAATGTAATGGATTCGACTGGAATTTGAACTCGGCTTTCCGATTCCTCAGCTGGAGCCGCTATCCATTACTCCACCGTGCCTCCAACTAGAACCAAACCCGTGAGAGGCTATACGATGTAATTTTATCAGGGTATAGCGATTTTGCCTATTTGAGAACACGCATTGACTCATTACTCCGAGCGGTGACAAAAAGACATCTGTTACAATCGGACCCGTTGCCCTGGTATAGGTGGAAGACGTGATTGGTGGGGGGGGGCTGAACAGGTAGAAAAAAAACAAAGAGAAGATTGTGGTTTCATTTGGTAGTCCATACTTTCACCTAGGAAGAGACCTCAGTGGCATATTTTTCAACGTGATGATTTAATTTCAAGAGGTATCGTATCGTAATCACGAAATGACTCTCAGTCAGTGCGTTGATAAAATAAATAAATAAATAAATAAATAAAGTGTTCTTGCTTGATAGGAGAATGGAATAAAAGTACAGATCTGCAGAGCACGACATGAGTCCGGAGTAGCGGTAAGGAAGAGATCAAGGAGTAAAGTATGTCCGTCAAAATTATTAGGGAAACGTGTGGAGATGTCTTACGTTTCACTGAGAGATTTAGCAGTTGAGAAGTTCGAAGTCAGGATGCCAGCGAGGTCAGGAGCATTAGAGTGATGAGGCCACTTGACGTGATAGGCGTTGAAGTCACCAAACCGAGAACGAAATACGTTATATATAACTTTTGCTTTACGATTAGATCACGCTGAAAACTACGGATTTCGTTCGATCAGCGAAGTTAAGTTGCATCGAGATTATTCAGTACTTATTTTGATACAACGAAAGCGTCATATCAACTGTACCAACGGGCCTCGGTGACGAAGAAGAAACGGCATAGACTCGATATAGCGCCACTACTCACAGATTGCGTTATATCAAAATGATCAGGTTTCGAATCTTAGTAGTAGATGCGCACTGTTGACGAATCCCAAAATAGGACGAAACTGTTGTCCAGTGCTTTCTGCATTCTGTTGAAGATTCTTCTTGATATATATATATATATATATATATATATATATATATATATATATATATATATATATATATATATTATTATTATAGAAATATTAAAAGTATAAGAAACTATACTCGTTCGAAAATTTTCGGTGTCTTGATTTGCAAATAATCAAACCAATACCAAAGGAAAAAAAAAAATAAAAAAGAAAGAACCAAGAACATGTACGTTAGCCGAAAATAATCATCTATATACAAGTCCAAAGCCCA